CAGCCATGGTTCTCTCTGCTCTTCCCTGCTGGGGCTGGGGAATGTTGCCATGGAAATCACAGCTGCGAGTGACAGCTCTCGGGATCGCAGCCGCTGCAGACCCCGCACGGGGATGGGGATGGGATGAAGATGCCACTTGGCCACAGTGGGACAACCACAGCGTGTGGCTCTGTGGGGCTGCACTGACCCCCGGGGCTGGGAGGGCTTCTGGGGGCTCTGGCGAGGAGGTGCTGGGCTGCAGGGCACGGACACATCCTGCTTCCTCTGCATTAGGCAGCAGAGATTTAGTGAAGCGATTACCATCCGCAGCTGTAGTGCTCTGATAAAATTACACTGAAATAGTGCACTAAATTATATTGACAAGATACATCATCTTTGCATTCTGCACGTGCTGGCTGGGCTCTTTTCCTTGAACAAAGCCCTGTTCTGCAAAGCTAATGAATCTGTGGGAACGTTTCCAAGGGCAGAAAAAAAAGCAAAGGGAGGTTTATGGCAGCTTTTATTGGATTTTATTTTTACCATTAACGTTAGAGCTGCTCCATTTGCATTCATGAAGGCAATCATATAGATGGCAAGACCACAGGTATAGTAAATAAACCCAAACACAGAACACAAAATGCAGGGATGTTCTCAGCTGGTGCTCCTAAAATGACCGCTCGATTTGACTCCAGCAGCGCCGTCGCCACTGCCATATGGGTTTGCTAATACTGGACACAGCTCTCACTTGGTAAATTCTCCTGGACCCAGCAAGTTGCCACAGTTAAATCACATCTGCTTACTGACTGCCTTTGGTCTGAAGTAAAATGACAGCCTGGAATCTCACTAACATTCGATCACAGAAGAAAAAGGAGCGTTGAAGATAAACCTAAAGAAGGAGCCATTTAGGAGATGTGGAACAAAAGAAAGTAAAATTATCTCCTTAAACTGGATGTCAGTTTTAATTCAATTTACCCAAACTCATAAGCAGCCAATTCTTATCGTCATTAAACAAAGGAACCAGCATCATGTTAAGGGTTAAGGGTTACTCACACGATGAAGCTCTTAAGATAATTACTGAATCTCTCTTTGAAAGCCTTGTGATTTGTATGACAGCAATAAAGCCCTTAATATATATAATTAGAAATGAAGACGTGCATTTAAAGCTACCAAGAAACAGAACTGCTAAATGCAGATTCTTCCTCCATTTAAAATCATTCCTGTGCAAAGACAAACGTTCCTGGAGCCCAGCCTGTGATCAGCTCCTTTGAAGGCTACGCCTTCCATCTTCCCTCAGTTTTTATCACACGAGTGCCTATTGTAACAACACCACATTTTATCTCCAGTTGTCTTTTCCTTTTCCTAAATTCAAATGCAACAGAAGGCTCAATTATTTTTTTAAAAGATTAATTTAATCTCTTTCCTTTGAGATGGAATCACAGTTTGCCTCACTCAGCCTCTGCTGCTGTAGGCAAAACTAAAGGGAAAAGGAGCAAGAATTACATTTCCATGCGTGTTTTCAATGAACAATTGAAAGCAAGTAGAGAACAGAAATGAAGATACAGGCAAAACTGCTCGGAGGATTTCAGAGCACAGAGAAGGCCTCTTCACATCCTTACCCTGATTTTGTATTGTGTTGATTGTTCCTTTTGCAGCACTGCCAGTCTCCAACTGCCCCATCTACTGGCAGCAGCACACGGCGGGTGCATGAGCACAGGAGTGACCTGACACTGCTGAGAGTGAGATCTAACGGTAAATGCAGAAGACCACACAAAGTGGAAAGAAAATGGAAGCATTTTCCAGATTTAACACTGGGAGGTCTCTAACTACATACTTACAGGCATAACCCAACGCCTGCTCCTTGGTTGATGAGCTGTGTAGTGAGCATTTCCTCATTCATGAGTGTTCCTTGGCTTTAGCTGCAAGTTGCAGGACATTAAAGAGCTCCTCTCCATTACTCTGCAAACACTGCAGAGCCTGGCTGAAGAACGTTCAGTATGAACAGAGATCCAGGTGAACCACACGGGGTTTCAGCTCCAGAAAAGGAGCTCTGGCCACTGCGCTTTCTTCAAAGTCTTCAGTATCTTGAGCACTTGTCTTTTCCCCACAGATCTTTTATCAGGCAAATTAGAATCTCGCAGAGAAAGAGAACAAAAAGATGGTGCTACCTGTCCTATTTCAATACTTTGGGCAGAAGAGAAAGATGCCTCCGTGCAGAGTTGTATTAGTCCCTCTCCACTCCAGGGAGAGGAGAACACAGGGCAGGGAGGTTTGGAAGCCATAGGACAATTGCACCAGTGATTAAACTTCTGTCACTTTTGCTGACTGTGGAACAAAAGAAACCCCAAAAGCACTGCAGTCATTCTATATGTAACCCAGCATGCCCGATGCCACACAAAACACTATAGCAAAATCCCTCACAGAGCCAGAGCTGATCCACTGTTCCTACAGGCAAAAATCTTTAGCCCTGCTCAACTCCGAGGTTGCTGAGCCCAGATCACAGCCCAGACTATGCAATTCTGAAGTTGTCTTCTAAAGAAGGGGCCAGCAGACTCACAGAAACTGGCATTTTGCTGTTACATTGTGCCTCACACTATTTGGTGGCTTTTAGCTGAAGGAGGAGCTTCAGTGCTCACCTTGCAGCGAGCCATCATCTGTTTCACAGCACAGCCAGGCTGGGCCTTTCAAATCATTCTTCAGTAACTGCACCTTTCACCTGCAGCAAAGGTCACCTCTCAAGTCCTCAGGCATTTAATATGAAACCCAGGGTCACCTGGGAGCAAGGTGTCCCCTCTGCAGCTTTATTCAAGCAGGAACTCATTAGCTTGCCTCATACCACCACGGGAAGAAAGAGAGACTCCAGATTAATGGCATGACCCAGTGAACTTGCTGAATGAGCCAAATGAGACCAAACTGCTTAGAAAAGTGGCTGCAGAGGGGGAACAATTCCTGAGAAACCAGAGTGAGCGTGGTGGAACTGCAGCAAACAATCCAGAAGAACCTACCAGAGGTGTTTTGAGAGGGGCCTCACAGAGCAGACCCATTGCGCTCCAAATGAATAAGCCAGAATAAGCTTTCGGAAAGGCATGCTGCCATTTCCAGGGAAGAGACCTGGAATTCATCTTCCAATACCTAAAGGGGCTGATAAGAAATCTGGAGAGGGGCTTTGGACAAGGGCCTGTAGGGACAGGACAAGGGGAATGGCTTTAACCTGCCAGAGGGGAGATTGAGATGAGCTCTGAGGCAGAAGCTCTTCCCTGGGAGGGTGCTGAGGCGCTGGCACAGGGTGCCCAGAGAAGCTGTGGCTGCCCCATCCCTGGCAGTGCTCAAGGCCAGGTTGGACACAGGGGCTTGGAGCAACCTGCTCTAGTGGAAGGTGTCCCTGCCCGTGCCAGGGGGTTGGAACAGGATGAGCTTTAAGTTCCCTTCAACCCAAACCAGGCTGGGATTCTATGAAAAGGAATCAGACCAAATACCTGGTAAACACAAGAAATGTGTTTCACAAAACTACTAAAGCTTGCAGCAGGGGACTTTTCCTTCAGGGTCTTACTCTTCACCAAAAGTGATTGAGGGTTAGGAAGTTTGTGCAAGTTTACTTTAACTGCTCAGCTTTAGAGCACACTTTTTCTCTGTGAAGTCTTTATACCCATCTGTCAGCACTTTCTATTTCTGACGGGCAAAAAGGGTTTCAGAAGTCTTGTTGTTTCCTGAGTTCCAAGATTGACAAAGAAAAAAGCCATTTTAAGAAACATGTTTCTAAAATCTTGCACTAGTCAACAGTCCCTGCTAATGACAGAGTCAGTTCCACCATCTCTGTGGCTCTGAAAGTCAGAAGCTGTTGCTCCTTACTAGACAGATCACACTCGTACAGAACGCGGTTTTCAGCAAGTGCTAAAAGCAGCTCTTGTACTTTTATCCCTCTCGTATATGTTGGTTTTGAGGTTACAAAACCAACTGCTATTTGTTGTGGCCCCAAAAAAGCCCCTCCATGATTTCAGAGCTTGCCAAGTCACAACAAACTCCCGTGGCTCAGAACAGTCCCTTCTAAGCCAAGTCTGAGAATGCGTTTGCCCTGAAGTCACAGAACGTAAAACTGCTTAAGGGTAAAACCAGGAAGATCTTGAGCTCAAATCCCATGGTCAGAGAGGAAAGACAAGCACACAGCTCCTGATGTGCATTGCCTGAGGTGTCTTGCCCTTTGTAATGCTAAGGGGCTTCTATTTTCTGTCACTCTTTCACCCAAGCTGCTGAGGCAGGTTTTCCAGAGGCTCTGCAACAGTGTTTTCCCTTGTTCCTGTGCTGTAACTCCTCAGCTTGCACCTACAGCCTCCAATATTGGATGTTACAGGTTCTTATGGGAAATGCTTGCTACCAGTCTGCAAACTATCCCTTCTTTCTGTATCCCTCAGCTGTATTTTTTGGTTTACATTAGGGGACTTCATAAGGTGGATGCTCCAAGCTTAACAAACCAAGAAGCACGAGCATCTGGCCCCAGTGTTTGTATGCTCCTGTCAGCACTAAGAGTATCATAAGAAACAACAACAGGGATTTCACACAGACCCTGATAAAACCTCAGTAATTATGAATGGAACAATATGACGAGGGAGACCACATGTTGCTCCAGGAGAGATGCCCGGGAGGATGCTCATTTGGGAATCCTGTCCCTTCTCTTCCTTGATGGCCTCCGGGGAAAGTTCCCCCATCTCTTTTCTCACTCTGTTTTCCCCTTTTATTCCTTCCTCTGCACCCCCAAGACTTTTACCATGAGAGTTGATGGCACGGATCCACTACTAAGCTTTCACACAGCTTTTAAGCCTGTCTCAACATCCGTGTGCATCCCTCTTACACATTCAGCCATACAAACTCCTGTGAGTTTCCAGGAGCTGCTTTCACTGAGTAAAGAGCAACTTTTTAAAACAGCAACTGATAGGCCCTACGGCTCACAGCACATCACAGCACATCCAGAGCAAAGGTGGTTTAAGGGACTTGAACTGAGGTTTTTAATGCAGTAAACTCAGCTTTACCTTCTGTAGGAAGAGGACAATCCTCACAAGCATCTTGGCATGCAGTTCCTCCAAGGTGAAGAGAGTTCGAGGCGTGCGGATGAAGATCTTGGTCTTGCCATAAGCCACGTCGTGCTGAAATCCATGGCACTCTATGAGCTTCTTCACAGCATCTTTGTCTGAAGGGAGGTCATGGTTTGGCCAAGTGAATTCCGAGATCATCTTGTACCTGGAATTACAAGGTATGATTTACAAATGTAAACCTCTCACCCAGCTTCTCCTGGCCAACCTTCAGCAGGTTTTAGAAATAATTATGATCTAAATCCTAATAAAACTGATTATAGCTAGAAGAGCCTCAAGACATCCTCTGCAGGAGTCACGCGCCTCAAAATCCAAGGAAAAGGAATACGAGAGGCATGATTTTGTGAAGAGTTCACCTCATCAACACCAAACTGATGAAACATGACAAACCTCACCAGTGTCTTCCTGCAGGTTTGGCACTTCCTTTATTCACACTCTCAGCATTCCATCTGAATGTTATTTACTTTGGTGAGAAGAGCAGCTTTGGTGTGCTCACACTGTGCAGAAGGAGCCAACTGCAGTCAGCTGCCTTGTCACAAACCCTCCATTTAACAATCCTGCAAGGAACGTCTCCTGTTCATCACTTTGGTATGTCACATTTCTAACATCTTGCTCTGGATCACCACATTTCTAACAACATCTATTATCTACCAAGGTAGCAGATAGTTGACTGCGACAGTTGTGAACACCACAACTGCCTGTAATTGTTACGTCCCATCCTTACTCTCCAAGCTCCTTTTTACACTGGGAGAAGGAATGCAGATTGGAACTAAGACAACTACAAAGGAAGCACGAGAGTAACTGGATCCCACTCAGCTCTGTAAGATTTACCAGCCCTGCAAAGTGCTGATCAGGTGAACACACGTTGGCACAAAGCAACAATGAATTTTCTACGTAAGATTTATGGACACAATCAAAACTGTAATAGACATTTTCACTCTAATAGTACCCACATTCCTGTTCTAAATAAAACAGGCATGCAGCAATCTGAAGCACTCCTCTATTTAAAAGCCCACAATCCAAGTCAAACATCAATCTCAATGTTTCAGTCATGCAGAATTTTCAGCTCCTATTAAATGGATGCAGAAATAAACCATTTTACTGGGGAGAGGGTGCACTACAAGGAGTTACTAAATGGACTAAAATCAGCCTGAATGGAAATAACATCACCCTGCTGCTTTCATTCATCAAATTAGCCTTCTGAAATACGCTGTTGAAGAGAGGGGGAAAAGAAGGTGCCTATGCAGGGAACACCATCAGTGTGAGGGTTACACCATGCAGACAAGGGATCTTACTGGTTGCTAAAACAGGAGTACTTAAAAAACACACTCACAAAAGAGGATTTTGCATTTATACTTGGTTGGCAGAAGCATTCCTTCTCTCAAATACAGGCACACACAGGGGACAAATGTTTTCCACTTGTTTCTCTTTCCTGTTCTCATCAGGAAGATGTTCCTGCAATAGTTAATTCACTGGAAAAACCCTTGAGACTGTTACATTAGGGAAAAAAAAAGACAAGCAGAGCAGCAGCACAAGCTGACGGGGGCCAGAAAAAGAAGGGGAAGATGTCAGAGACCTGCCAACATGCCCAAGAGATGGGTAATTCTCTTCCTCCTTCACAACAAAAGCAGGGCTATGGCATAGAAGGACATCCCAGGGGAAAAGGGACCAGCTCCCTCCGAGCCCTCAGGTGGTGGGGCTGGTGTTGGGATATCGTGGTGGTCCTTGTGCAGCTTTAGTTCCTCCCCAGCACGTGTGGTGTGATGCCACCAGCTCGTGCCCCGCAGCAGGTCCAAATCCCAGCCTCCTGCTAATTATAGTGAGGCAGAACCCAAACTAAACCTGCTCACTAACACCACAACCCTTCCCCTCTTCCTGCCTGGAGCTTTGAAGGTCACTTCTACATTAAGCATCCACTTCTACACCACCTTTGTTTCTCTGTACTTAGCTATAGAAACACCCAACGTGCATGAGGGGCTACTGGAGTTCACAATTCCCAGCAGAGCTCTCCCAGGAACCAAGATTTTTGCAAGCCACTAAATTATGAAGCCTTTAATGAAAAACACCGGGTCTGCACATGAATCTGGGCCCTACCCTCCTCTTCCCACCGTGCAGGTCACAGCTAGCTGCTGTCATTTATGTGCTATATTTAACACAGCCTGGAAACAGGCATGTGGATGCCGTGACCGTGTTGGATTACGCTCACCCGTGGCCATGGCTGCAGATGCCTCAGAGGCGCCGTCCTTCCCCCTGCCCTGCACACAGACCCCTTCCTGAAACCCAATCAGCTTCTTTTTGATAGGAAGCTATATATTAAACCCAAGGAATGCAGCACATCTATTTCAGATACATGGCCCTGACGTGCATTCCACCCAATTGGAAGATGTAGTTACCAAGTGAACGCACAGCATCTCCTGGTCCAACAAAAATATACGTGGGCTTTACTTTCTGGTTAAGGGCAGAGTGGTGCACACAGAGCTTAAATGAAGTTTGAAAAGGACATTTAGTATGGTCTTAACTGGGCTTTGCTTCATTTGCTACCGATAGGTGTGAGGTATCAAAAGTAAAGGTTGTATTTTAGGGCTAAATAGCAACAAACTCTTTTCTCACAGAAAGGAATGTTATTTTTAGTATGATTTTATATACACACCTACATACATATATATATATATAAAGGCATACTTGCACCCATATATATATACATGTATCTCTCATCTCTATATAACCGGATATGTATCTCCTGTCCCCTCTCAGAGGAATCAGCAAAACAAAGCACAGGTACCTGCTTTGGGCTCAGACAATCTGGAAGCTTCAGGGGCCTGTAAGGGAGTGAAACATGTTTGTGGGACTGAATTTTCACAGTATCTTTCACCAGTGTAAGCAAAGAGGTGACAAAGTTAGGTCCCAACGTCACCTCTTGCCGAGTAACTGGGTCTGTCTCAAGATGTGCCACAGATGCAGTGCAGGAGTCCGGAGCTGAAGGGCTTGGAGCCTACTCCACGTTCCCAGTCTCCCAGTAAGTATGTTAAATATAAAGGAACAGATTCCTTGTGATCCCAGTTCACAAACCACTCAAAAGCTGTACAGTTTGTTCCACAAATCATCTCCCCCAGCCCCTGTAAGAGGGTTTCTCATCCAGACAAGGAACAAAGAATTCTGGTAAAAATAAACCCAATACCCAGGCCAGGAGATTGTTATTTATTGGGTTTTTAACTTAGAAAAGGCAATACCGTGATATGCAAATACAGTGTCTGATCCCCCACGCTGGAGATGATTAATCCCACTCCAGGGTCCAGCAGAACAAATGCTACAATAGCCTGAAAGCTGAACCAGTTGCCATGTGCTAATTTGGTTTACAGGCTGTAAACACCACTTCTGGTCTTCAGCTTACAGGAGCTCATCAAACCTTCATTAAAAACAAAGCAGCTGTTTATATTAATAGTAATTACACAAATCTGAAGAGTAAGTTGTAATGAATTCCACATGTGAGGGTGAAAGCATGCTCTAACCACTGCATGATGTTGAAGAAAGCTGATACACAGCCCTGCAGGCTGTATTTAGTGAGCCAGACCCTTTCGTTCCACTTCAGGTATCATGAAATATCCAGGCAAATCTCCACTGTGAAGAGCAAAAGATCTTTCAGCAGCACTTGGTTCCTAATGCATGACATCCCACCTGCTCAAAGAGTTTCATGGTTTTCTACACTCACAGCCTTTTTCTCACCTGCTTCCACAACAGAAGTGAAAACTCAATTCACTATTTCATCAGCACGAGGTGGAATTCTCACTGCCCAGGCTGCTTCACTGAAGCCACAAGACAAATTTCAATCTAAACCATTTAATTTGTCACAAGTCTAGTAGGAACTAAGAGGGCAAGAAGTATCAAAGCCACGTTTTAATGGGGTCACGTTGCTATCCCTCTTGAGACTTCCAGTTCTAAAGTCCACAGGTTTTCTCCTGTGCACACGTGTCACTGTGCACCATCAAGCACCTCCCAAGACACACAGTTCTGTCTGTCTGTCTCGCTGCAACAATTAGACAACGTGCAGAGAGAAAACAGAAGTTAATTAGTTCTGGTTTGAGGGTTATGCTCTGGGGAAGAACTTCAGTACGCTTTCCTGCTGCAGAGAGTCATACAGCAAATGGATTTGAGCAGAAGTGGAGCCTCTACACGCCTCTACACACATCTGCTGTCACAAAAGGCGAGCAGAGTCCCTGTTAGACCCACGTTATCACACTCAACCACGCAAGTCGAGAGCCCAGAGGACTCAAGACTTCCTCTTCGCTCGAGGGGAGACAGCCAGATCCCACACCTCATTCCAAGACCTGAGCTTGAGCCCTGCCAAGCGTTGAAGGGAGCCACCCCTCCTACCTGTGCAGAAACTTCTCGTAGGTCTGGCGGTAGGCGAAGCCGGCGCGTCGCACCCGCACGTTCTCCAGCAGGCCGAGGTACTCCACCTGGTGCCTGCACCGCTCCTCGTCAAACAGCTGCGGTGACTTCTTGTCGTTGGGCTTGATGCAACGGACGTAATAGGGCTCCTGAGGGACAAAGGAAAGTTCAGTCAGAAAGAAGAGTCTCTGCAGACACAGCTGCTGCTCAGGGGAACACCGAGGTGTCAGTGAACCCCGGCATCTGAGGCAGGTTTGGGCGCTTAACAGGAATTACAAGGTTAGATCAGAAGTGACACGAGTGGCACATAAAACCTTCCTCCTCTTCACCCACTGCGATGACACCTGTTACAGGATCCACGTGTTACACGTTTGAGTTTGACTGAGCTTGCCTATGTATCAGAACCAGTTCTGCATCCTCCTCCTCCTCTGTAGACAAATGATAACAAGAAAGGGCTTCATAAAAGACAGAAAGCCCAATGTAATTGGTTGTCCTGATTGTCAGATACGGCTTTCCCAGTATCAACATCTAAAAGCAGCATGGATTACTCTGTAATCTTTAAACTATGCTGAGTTCTCCAGAGCCTCTTCGGGTCCTGGATGGTTTCAACAGTGATTCCAATGAAGCAGTACAATGTGGGTGCCAAATCTGAAGGCAATACATAGCTTGAGAGTGCAAGAACCCACAACCTTAACAAATGGGAGGAGTGGTCTGGGGGGAAAAAAAAGGAAGAAAAGATTAATTTGGTGAGGACAAATGTAAAGTTCCCATTTAGGCAGAAATAGTTCCATAATAAAAGAATGAAAACCTGATTTACACTTGTGCTAAAAAGAGACCTACAAGTTCTAGTTCAACATGAGCCAATGTGAGTTCATGTATTTCTAAAGAAGGGGCACAGGAAGAAGAAAACTGGAAGGCAAAAAACCCAGCAGGTTTCTATATATGTGCACATCACCTTTGGTTTGGGGCACTGCAGCTCCAGAGGGACGCAAACGGTGCTGACTCAGTTGAGGGAAGAACAGGCAAGATCAAAACCCCAGAAAATGCGACTCTGAGGAAATACAGTTTGAGTCTCGAAGGACTGAGGAGCCACAGAAGCCTCCTGATGTTAGACATGATGTATTTGAAGGGTACATATGAAGAAAAGCAAACTTTCAGGTTTAGGACAAACGAGCTTTTGCTACAGTATAAAAATTCAACTGATGCATTGGGTAAAGAAGGAATGGGAGTGAAATGTGTGTGGAAAGGGAAGGAACCTCCAGCATTAGAGAGGAACAGCCTGAACAACCTCCTGCAAAAAGAAGATAAGAGGCAGAGGTGTCCTCAAACAGGAAACAAATCAGGTGCATTCCCAAAGTCCCTTCCAGCCCTGTTTTCTATGATTTGTCTATGATTTAGCCCTATTTGCTACGATTTTAGGTCTTTTACTTAATCTCAGGAGAATATGAAAGGCCCCAAATTGCTATTTTGCCTTCAGCAGTATTGATGAAACAGGATCATCCTTGACTCTCCTGGCTAATCCTGCGTGAGCAGCACTAACAACAGGCACACAGAGCTTCTGCTCACTAACAAGTGTGAACAGGCTGGATATGCGTAAGGAACAAGGGAGGGAGGCCTTGGAAAAGCAAACTCGTATCCTAGAAACTGATACGAGCCACTGGATCTTCTGGGGAAGACATTGGTCTGGAACGTTTCCCTGCTTTTTTAAGCATGCAATCAGTAGCACTGGGCTCTGCTTTTCTCCTGGAGGGCTGTCCTTAGGGTAGGAATATATGGCACCAAGGAGAGTGAGTAAAATCTAAGCCAACCACCCCTCCAAGTGCTGGCAGCATCCCTGTGCTGCAACTCAGGAGCGTGTAAGTAGGTATAGAAGTGTGTGGGCAATGTATGTTCTTACATCACCTCCTTTCTCCACTAGTAGCTCCATCTCTCCCCACGAACTGCATCAGGGGTAGCTCTGTCACAGTCTTGTCTGGCTCCTTTCCTTACAGGGAGGCTGAGGCAAAGCTGGATGCAGTGGAGAAAACTGCCCCACTCCCAGAGAACCAGCTGAGCCCGCAGGCAGCGTATCAGTGCTCTCTTCATCCTGCTCTGCCTTTCAGATCCTCTCAGTTAGTGGTGGGCTCAGGAAAGGAAGGAGCACTGAGGACAAGGCTTCCTCAGGGCAGCAATGTCAGCTCTGGTCTGTGTGAGGTCTTCTACCTCACAGACTGAATGGAAAGGAAAAAATGGTGAAATCGAACATGCTGGTACAATCAAAAGAGTTCTAAGAGATTTACATACTAACGCTTTTGTCTTTCTCCTGAGAATTCTCTCTGCACTGGAGGTAAGAAGGTTTACAGGGGTCTTTATTCACTCGACAGCCTCCTACCAGCTCTCAGAACGTGCCATCTGTGTGGGTGATGATTTTCCCTTCAGCGGCAGAGCTGGGCTGTGCCATGGGAACACGCTGTCACCGCTGCTCTTCACGCTCCCAGACACTGGGTGTCAAGCTATGAAGGCAGAAGCAGCCCTTTCAGAACTTCACATCAGCGCTGAAGTGGTTTTGACACGGTCATGGCAGCTATAACTGAGGAGGAGTAGGAGTTTGCTGGACCTGATGCCTGCAGTTTATAAGCTCTGGATTTTAATCTCTCAGTTGTATGACAGTAAGTGAAGGCCAGGTTGTTCATCTGCTAGAACAAGCCTCCTGTTTGACTGGGAATAAGCTATTCAGGGAAAATGCAGGATATACAGAGAACTCCCTGAATTACAACTCAGCTTAGAAGCTGTGAAAGAGGCTGCAGTTGTGGAGGTGAGCGGTCTGCAGTTCTGCCCTTCCCCTCTTGCTAATATTCAGCTACAATTCACCCACGTTAGTCACCCTTAAGGACAAACCTATCCCAGCGTTAGCAACGGGGTCACTAACATCAGAATGATGCCAGACCATGCAAGAGCTGCCCACAAGTACCACTGTGTTGCATCTGATGTTAATACAACTCCTTTGGTGAGATGGATATCACAAATATTCCACATTAATCTGCAGAGCTGCAACATCTTGGATGGCTGCCCCATCCCTGGCAGTGTTCAAGGCCAGGCTGGACACAGGGGCTTGGAGCAACCTGCTCTAGTGGAAGGTGGATCTTTGCCATTCAAAACCACAACAAACCTCAGTGCAAAAGATCTGGGACTTCCAGCTCAGCACAAAGAGGAGTGACTGTGTCTGCCTTTGGTATCAAAGGCAGAAGTCAAGATGCTGCTTTCCTTTTGGAAAACAGAAATAGGAAGTTCCTGCACAGACAGGAGATCATCTATCAGAGCAATTACAGCATAATTAAAGCCTCTCAGCAATGACAGCTACCAGGGTAAATTCTAAAGCAGATTATTCCATGCTTACAATCCCACCAGCCTCAGCTCTTCAGGGGGATAATTATGCAGCTCCCATTATTGCACCATGGGGCTGTCAAGCCCGGGAGCTGCATTTTATAAATGGAAGAACTGAAATGCAGAGCCACAAAGGCCCCAGTTCTGAAAGCTGGTTGGATGCCTGATGGCACCTCCGGTATTGGTGGTTTCCTTGGTTTTTAAAGCCAGCTGAGTGAGGTTTAGATGTTTAAGTATCAAAAAGAAAATGAAGCAGTTTCAAACCATTGCTCCCTAAACAAACTCCTCCTCCAAAGGTTTCTTCTTCATAGTTTACAGCTCATTAGATGAGAGCAGGGATAGGACACAGGACTGACAAATCTGTGTTGGATATGTTCAGTCACAGTGCTGACATTAAAACTTACTAGAGATGAAGCCTGTCAAGCTGAATAGGAAGACAGGTATAGAAGAAAGAAGAGTCAGACAAAGGGAGTTACAAAGAAGGAAAGGGGAGGTGGAAAATGTGGATGTTGAGAGAAAGAGTTCCTGGAGAAGCTGATGGTTCACAGCCGTGCCAGGCAAAGGGCTTCCCAGGTCAGTATTTAAAAGAGCAGCCACCCAAAGGCCCTTCCACCTCAACCCATTTCATGATTTTATGAAGCCACCAGCTTGAAATGCAACAAAATTCAGGCCTATCCTCATGGTGTTTTTGAGAAACAGCTGAGGAAAACATGAGGTGGTTTTACCTCTCCCTCTGGACCCGCAGGCACAGCAGCTCACACCCCTTGTGCGACGCGGTTTGAGAGGGCTCTTTTCATCAGCTGTTAGTGCAGGCTTCCACATACAGGCCTGCAGGGTCCAAGCCACAGTCAGACACGAGATGTTGTTACTGTCTAGCCCAAGAAATGCAACTCTGGTCCCGAGTTAAGCACAGGAAGAATGAGTAACATGCCCCAAGGGAAGAATCTCAGTACCCGTAACTGCACTAAGTGGTGTCCCCAAAGGAGACAGTGGTTTCACCAGCCCAGGAACAGCGACTGTTACCTGCTGCCCAGCCCACATAAGTCAGTTTGCAAACTTCAGGACCCACAAACACTGTTCTGTGAAGAGCATTAGCCATGGAAAGTTTTAAACAGCAGACTCCAAAGTGCAAACTTCACCCCCTTCATTCCAGCTCTCCAAAGGTTGGCCATAAACTGCTGCACAACCACGACAGCCCTTGGCTCCTTCTTGCTTGGCAAGAGCCCTTGTTAAGTCCTGACAAACACGCCTGTTCCATGAGAAGCTTCCCTTTAATGGGCTCACTCTGGGAAAAACAATCTGAGACAGTTTTCTTCCTTGCTGTTCAACAGAAAATCAGGAAAACCCAACATCTTTAATACCAGTTTCTCAGTGAAAGTTTAGGGAAGGTAAATAACGGGAAAGGGCTACTCTGAGACACACAGAGAACCTCCTAGTGAATTCAGGAGCTTAAATTTGACTCTGAAACAGCTCCTGGTTCTGGCCAATCCTTGGAAAAGGCTGGTATTTGTGACGGAGATATCAGTGATAAATAAACTGAAATTAACTCATTTCACATGAGCCAGCCAGCCTTCAATGATGAATTTTGGTACCTACTGCCTCAGGGTGGATAATGAATGATTTAAACTCCTCATCTCCTGCTGTGAGCTGCAGGAATTGTTCAGCCCCCCACAGTGCTCAGTGTCCTCTCGACTATTCTATTGCTACAAATACCAGGTGGCCCAGAATAATTTTGCCAACAAAGAAGCAAATGAAGTTTTTCCATGAACACTTGCTGAGCCTCCCACCATGAGGTGCCAGGTACCCGCCTTGATCACAGCCTGGCTCAGCAGCAGATGCTGTGACTGCTCAGGATGAAAGAGAACTCCATCCATCAAGAGAACAAGCAGCATCACTCAGAACCTTCTTCCTTCCCCGACCACTCATTTTCACAACACACACAGAAACCTCTCTGGGTTCTTGACACCTCTATACCAAATTTAGGTTAGGGCTAGGCAGCAGATTCTATGGAGGAGTGATAGACAAGGTACATCTTGGCTCCCTGGAAAGTCCATCCATCTCCCTCTCATCAGGGTCACAGGCACCTCCTCCAGCCCCACAGCTCATGATTTGTCACCCAGGAGAGCTCCTCTCTGGCTGCACAGGCAGTGGGATAGGGCCTCTCTCAACCACATTTGTGCGCACTTTCTCCCTGCCCATCCTGGAGCACTAACATCTCCACCACAGCACCAAGATGCCAGGAGTGCAGCAAGGTCACCCAGTCTCTCCACGAATCAGAAGCTGGAGTTGGTTCTGCAACAGAAATATTTACCTTCGATGCCAGGTTGTCCACTAGTGCGATCATGGAGTTCTTAAAAAGAGTAGCAGCTGTCAGAGGTCTCTTGGTTACCTCAGTGATGCTCAGTTTACCTTCAGGCCACATCATCTTCAACACAGGGTTAGAGCTGGAAGAAAGTCTCTTTAATCGCACAGTCTAACAACAGTTCCACTAAATTCAGAATTCACCAGCTTGGTTCTGCCCAGATCTACTGGTGTTTTCAGCTCAAAATGTATCAGCCAAACCAGCCTGACATTCCCAGGCAAAATATCTCTTGCTTTTGAGCAATATATGGTTCAGGCTGAACCCCCTTGAAAAATGACAAGTGCATTCTCCTCTTCAGATAAAGATGTGCAGTAATGGGATAGTAAAAACCCTGCAGAAGTGATCTATCAAAAGCAGAGTCTGCCTTTCTGACACAAACATAAAGAATTTAATCAAAACAGTAAAGAGTAAGACCATAGCCCGCACTCTCCTCCCTTGGAATGTGCTATCTGAGTTCAAGCTGTGTTCCTGCACCATTCTTGCTGTATAAAATAATTTATACGTTTTAGCCTGTATTTTCTTGAAGGGTTGAAGGTGAGGTAGAATGGCCATGATGGATGGCAAGAGCTCTGCAAGAGACAAAAGCTGAGAGCAGTTACAGCTATCTAATAGCCAATCTATCACATGCTGTAATATGCTGCAAGTCATCTTTGGGAGCAGCCTTTTACTAGGGACTTAACAGAAAACAGAGGTTGCATTTGATGAAACCTCAGGACAGCAAATATTTTTGCAGGTTTTGGTTAACGTGAAGCCTTGGAAACACAAACAGCAAAAGCATTCAAGGGAGGACACTGAGTAAACACAGCAGGGCTCTCAACTGAGTTCATGGCTGCACCAGGTTGGAAGGGAGGTGAAGCAGCGCTGTCCATGCAGCTGCAGGTGATTTTATGCTGACTTCTGCCTCTGAGCAAAGTCTTGGAAAGGTTGAGAGAGGCCACAAGTACAAAGCCTGAGAGCACAGTTAATGCCAGCTGCCAAGGCAAACAGCTTTCTGGGACACTGACACATGCACACACATTCTGGGAGGATTTCCCATTTGCTTGTCAAAGGCAACTTTGACCTCAGGAGTATTTTGAACACGTGGCTGCACAGTAGAAGTTTTTCATGTCACTGCACATATGAAAAGGATTCAAATCTATTTGCCTGGATTTTGCCCCCACCCTTATACCTTCTCCTAAAACCGGGACTTGTAACGGGGGCCAACAACGCCTGTTGCTGATTATTCAGTATCTTTAGCATTGATTAAAGAGAGGGCAGCAATGATACATTTGCAACCGGTCCAAAAACGCTGGTTAATGACAAACGGAGCAGCAGAGGTAACCTCTGCACAGCTCTCTTGATTGCACAGCAAGTTGTTTTCTAACCAACACTTTCAATTTAGTTCAATCAAAGGTTAGATCAGAACAAACCCAACAGAGACTAAGGCCTTCGTCCTGCAAAATCAAACTCTGCAAAGCTCAGAGCCCAGAGCAGTGTGTCTATTCACATGCACTGCACACCCAGCAAAGGCAGCGTCAGTGCAAACGTCAGCCTCTTCCAGCATCCATTCTCTAAAAAAAGGATTCTGACAGCTCAGATTTAAATTCACCTCAGTAAGATTTTTATTCCTACCTGTTGTACATGAGGCGCTTGAAGTCTTGAAATAAAGTGTCCTTGTTTTTATCAATAAATCCAGTGACTGAGTAACTAAAACAAAGGATAAGAGAGTTCATTGTAAAGAAGCAAAGTCCGTCTCTGAGCTGCTGTATCAGTGTGGCAGCAGCATCCCTGCACTCCTACAGCCACAGCAGCTGCTAATCAGGAACCCAGCTCTGTTTCCCAACCTACCACTAATTTGCTGCATGAGCACTGTGCGAGACTGAGCTCTCAGCCCAGCTTCCCACCTCCAGCACAGAACACCACCCAGAGAGGTTCAGGATGCGACCTGAACTCTGCAGCACCATGGCCCAGACACCCAGCAGCACCTGAACCACTTGGAGAGTTACATTCACGGCTTCTGCCTCCAAATTCAGAGCACGTGTTTGTGTTAAACCCTACAGGAAGGAAGTTTTATTTCCCAACATGTCTAGTCTGCCTCTCTCTTGCTGTCATGGAAGACTCTTTAGTAGGAGACTGCCTGAAATCAAGAGCTGCCTATAACCAGTGACAAGGGAATTCTCTTGGAAATCAACACACATGTTTTGGACTGTCTCCTTCCTCTACTCCCACAGAAACACCACCCTGAGAGAGAACCATTTTGGAGTTTCATCCCTTCTCCAAGACTCAAGACAGACAGCTCTCTGACCCTCAAGGAAAAGCTCCCAAATCTCCCCATGCAGTGACTCCCACTCAGCTGCTTCCTGAGCTTCAGATCCCACCCTGGAAGCAGGCACTGGGATCTAGAACCCCACAACATTCAAATCCCTGCATCAAGCCATCCCCACAGACAGCGTCACACACCACAGAGTTTTGGAGGCTTCAGGTAAAGACAACTTCACAGCCTGAGTGGGGAGGGCTCTGTGCACCCATTCTGCAGTTTAACATGACCCTGTATTTTGAATCTGCTCAAACCAACTTGAGAATTCAGAGCCAGAGCTTTATATAATCATACCAATGTCTAGACCCGTTTTTATTAGCTCAGTACAGCTTTCTCGCATGAACAGTGCTGGCTTTGCTTTCCTCCTTTTTCTTGGAGCAATGCTCTCCCCTTAACCCCTCCCCATAATGTTTTGTTTCCACTTCAAGTACAAACCCCATCCTGTGTAGCAAGAAACCAGCATTAGATTGAACTGATGAGCGACTGCTGCACTCTGTAATTCTGGGTGACAGCTCTTCTGCTTCCACCAGCAGCAGCAGCATTAAATTAGAATGTTGTACCACTTCAAAGCTGGCTCCGAGACAAAAATAGAAGGTGCAAGTTTCTTTTGGAAGGAGCCTTACATCACATCTCCAGCGTAGTGCTTGATCCGAAAGTCTCTGTCGAACTCCAGCGTCTTGTCAGTGGCACAAAGCTGAAACCAATTCACACCCGTTACAACATCACCCCTGGACTTTCATGCATTGGAAATAGAAATGGGAACTAGAGTTATATGCAAGCGTAGATGTGAAATCCAGTCAGGACTCTGTTTTGTAGGATTTTTTCATGGATGCATTATAAGAATGTCCATTTGTACAGACTCAAGCTGCAAGAGCCTACAGTGGTTAATGCTCCATCCCTGGCAGTGTTCAAGGCCAGGCTGGCCAGAGCCTCGGGTGACATGATCTAGTGTGAGGTATCTGATCCAGGGGATTAGAACTAGATGGTCCAACCCAAACCATTCTATGAGTCTATGATCTTCCTTTATATTTTTTCCCATTACATTATCACTCCTCAGCAAAGAAAGGAAGCAATCAAAAAATGACAGAAATGCAGCAAAAATACAGTAACACACACAGAGAAAAGCCAGTATTTATAGTAAATGATGGGCCCCAAACCGTCCCATTCCTAACCCAGCAAGCATCTTAACTACCCTCCATCTCAAAAAGGACACAGGAGAACTGGAAGAGATTTGCTGAAGGGCAAAAGCGATCAACAGTACTGACTGACTGCTACAGGAGGAAAGGCCAACCGAACTAAACCTCTTTGGGTTAAGAAAGGAATGCCAGGAGATAATGGAGATGATGTATTTGAAGACAGCACCCCGTGTTTTGCTGCTCAAGAACTAGGAGGCAAGAGATGTAACCTAAAAGGGAAGAAGGAGGAAAATGGGAAGAAAGGAACTCTTCACTATGGAAGTCTGTGTCAATTCAGAAAGAAAAAGAAGAAAAAAACCCTTTTAAGGACACCAGCTCTGATTCAGGAGGCTCCCAGACTGCAGGTCACTGGAGACTGGGAGCATAACATACTATCATCACGTCTGTCCCATATCCTTCTCTCACTTTAACATTCACTATCACCTACTACATTGGAAGATACGGCAGATGGACGAGAATGGACCTTCTGATACTCTGCCCTTCACAGTGAGCTTGTTGAGATTGACACCTTCCAGAATCTGAAGATTTAGCAATTCACAGCCTGTCTACAACTGCACTTGATCCTTCCAAAGTATAAGATCAACTGAAAAGCTCAGAACTTGAGGCTGAGAAAATGAACCTGGGATACTGAGAAGTACTATTAGAACAGTTTGCACATCTACAGATCTAGATCAGAGAAGGGCAACTCTCCTCTAGGAACATGAATTTTGCCCCTGTTTTTCCTGGTTTGCTTGGCTCTCACCAGGACAACCAAGCAGACAGCAGCAGACCAGACATACAGGACATAAACTAGGACACTACTATTTAGGGCACAGCAGCCCATCAGAGCTTATCCACATGGAACCAGTGTGCAACATGCTCTACAGGGGAGCAGCGAAGCATTAACTCAGGCTGAAAGATGGGAGCTGTTCCCACAACACATCAGCACACACTTTAACTCTTTAGGAACAGCTTTGATCTATGCTGAGCTTTGTAGTATCCAGACAGTCTACAAAAGCAAATGACGAAATGAAATCAAGTCCTTTGTTTTAATTCAAGCTTGGAAAGCTCAGTAGTTCTGGATGGGATGGAGGAAGATCCCTTAGATACAGTAAAGGACATCTGCAAAGACACAAGAGGGGGAAAAATAATTCTGATGCTGAGAGTTTTATGGGTCAGTTTTTCAAGGCTATATTGATTTGAACTAGAAATTAGCAAGCCAGGAAGATACATCATACCCTCCATCACCATTATTTATAGCAGTATTCCTTGTTCCCCTCTCAGGCTGTGCAAGCAGTTTCCTGACAATGCCACCTCCTGCTGAGGAATGCTGCAACTGGCAATATTTTCTTCTAATGGTTTCTATGTTGTTCAGGGACTGCTGAAGGTAAGGACTCAAAGAGATTCATTAGGAATTTTCAGTTTATAGCATCCCACATGCTTTGTGAAATTCAGCCCTTTTCCCCCACTGCACCAAAGGACTTCCTGCCCTCTCCACGGTGGAACCACTTCACCTTCACAGCCGTGGGACCAAGGACAGATCAGAAACTGAACTCCTTCCTCCACCAGCTTACATCTGTTGACTAAACAGCTCCAGAAGCTGGACCGCTTCCCACACGACCCCACTGTGGAGGATTTAGGAGTTCATCCCCCCAGGCTTCACTATTCACTATCGTTAGCGCTACTAAAGGAAGCAATTTGCATTAAAACATAGAAACCCCAGGCTAGGCTTCATGAAAAGCCTTGTTTGCAGGTGAGGTTACTCACAAGACACTGTGCCTAACTCAACTCCTGCTTCAGCAGCTAAAATCTAAGTTAACCCTGAGCAAGGTTCCATCTGCCAGTGGCAGGTGAGATGTCAGGTGAGCTGCAGCTAAAGGGCACTTCAGGAAAGCCACGGCTGGGAGGGAACAGTGGTTATTCTATTCCCATCCCAGCCTCTACCCAAACAAGCCACATCCAGACCTATTGTTTATACTGAGCCTCCCTGGAGCAGCCTTTAGCACAGATCTTACACAACCATGCTAATTTTGTATTTCTGACCTACATAAAACATTGTGCTAGGGTGGGAGGGAGACGGGGGGCGGGGAGCAGCATTCCCAACGATGCATTTCAAACGTTTCTGAGCTGAGAGACATCAATAAATTAAAGGTCTTTATTTGATTCTGTGATTAATCAGGCTGGTGACGATGATTTCAATATAGCTGCCAAGCCAGGAATAAATCAAGCCTTTTCATCTGTACATTCTACCAAAGCCAAAGCAAGGCGAGGGGCCCGGATGCTCATAGGAGCAAGAGGAGACGAGCGTGTTCTGCAGCCAATGGTGCTGAACACCCGGCCCTCAGTGATCCTGCAGAAGTGTGAATAATTTCCCTGTCACTATGTATTAGAGCAGCCTGGGCAGAGCACCACGTGTGCTCAAGCTGCACATCCATTGGCCACAGATGACATCATGATATGTCAAAGCACCGGCTCCCACTGCTTTTATGCTCGGAATAAAACGGATCTCACATTGGACATGCTGGAGCTCCCTCTGCTGGGAATGGGGCTGCCCGACGTGACCTAAACCCAGCTCCAAGGGCTGGAGCTGCCGCAGCTCTCACGCATTCCATTTCATACTCGATGTCATGATTCCGGCCTCAGGCACCTTTCAAGTGGCTTTTCCCTGAAACCGTTTTTCCTTATTCCATTCCATTTTCAAACTAGAAAAGGAAAGGAAGGCTTGAGGGTACAGAGAGCGAGTTACCTTTCTGCTGGAGAAGTGAGCGTGCTTCCCCAGCTTGTTGTTAAGAGCCTCGAGGAACATCTCATCTGTTACTTTTCCAACATTCATGCAGGCATCATCCAAAATGGAGATGATCCCTTTGTGCTGCTGCTCCACCAGGTCGACGATGACCTGGTTGTTGAAGTAATCGATCTGTAACAAACAAGGAATGGGTAAATTTGTGATTTGGGTAGCAAACGAGGAGCACAGCAGTGCTGGCCTCTGAACAACAGGTACCATGTGTCTGACTGGCAGCACAGGGCTCACTGTTCACAGGGGAAGGAGTGAGTTTCAGTGTGCCAGTCAGTGATTCAGAATCAAGCCAGCCACTCTGCTACCACCAACGAGCAGAGAAGGAGATTTTTCCAACACCTCACATAAATCTCAAGATCTTTGCTAAAAATCAACTGTGACAGAATGCACTTTAGGATGTCTTCTGAAATCCAGATGTGCAGAGCCACCCAGTGAAAACTGACATTATGAAAGGCACTTGAACAGGAGAAACGAAGATTTTTACACTTTAACATCTACGACTAGACAAAACACATACGCACTCAGAGCAGAAGCACACAGGGATGTGTGTGGCACCACAGACATGCCACAATATGCTTTAACTCAGACCTGGAGTCACTCATTTTCCCATGCCATGGCAAAGGAAGAAGCGTGGTGAGATAATTGTGAGCTTCTGCAGCCTGGTTTCCAGATAGCAAGTGTGACAGTGCAGCTGGCACACAGGTCCTGTTGACTTCACCAGGAGCCTACATGTGGAGCAACTGTAGATCTGGGCCTTATGGAGGTACACCGACCTCAGACCAACCTTTCCCTCCCCTGCCAAATCACTCACATGCTTCCAGGGAATTCCCTCTCGCTGGTACTCTTCCTGCTCCTGCTTTAGAACCAGCTGTATAAAGAGCTGCTGTAGCTTTTCATTGCAGTAATTAATGCAAAATTGCTCAAAGCTGCAAAGACCAGAAGGAAAACAAGCATGAGTGTTGTGGGAAAGGGGAAGGCACCTCAGTGTGTCTCAGCAACAGCTCACCTGTTATTGTCAAAGATTTCAAAGCCATAGATATCCAGGACTCCAATGACTGTGTTTTTCCCATGTACTGTAGTGTCATAGTTCTTCACTTCAATCACATCATTGATGTGTGTCACGATCCAAGCGAAGAGGCGCTCGTAGATCGCCTGCCAGGGAACAGACACTGAGGAGTTCTGCCTGCATCTGCTGCAGCTCGTTCTGGTAAATGCAACACGTGGGGCTACAAAGCCTAATGCAAGATGCTGCCCTAACCACACAACAGCTCCAGATAACATCCTGCTCCAAGTGAACAGCAGTGACATGAAAAGAGTGTTTCTTGTCTTTCTTCCCAAACTCATTTACTCGCAGTGTCAGCCCCAGGGAGGTCAGCAGGTACAGCAGCTCCCCTCAGTTGATTCCAGTCTCCTTTTCAGCTGCCTAATAACTTCCTTTCTGAGAATTACTCAACAACATTCAAGAGCAAGTGAGAGGTCAGCTATAGAAACCTAACAACTGAGCACAATGGCACCAAGATATTCCTGTTCAACTTGGAAAAAGAAGATGTTCTGTAGGCATAGGCATCTTTGAAGTGTCCCTGTTCAAAATGTACCAGGAAGCTGTGCAAACACACAACCTTCAGAGAACAAGTTAATAACCAAGGATCTTCATCACTTCATCTGATCTTCCCTTGATTTTTTAGCAAAGGAAGGACAATTGTCACTCCTTCTCTCATCAGTATCCTTTGCAAAAATAAGAGAGCACTTCAGGTTTCCAGCCTGAGCTCAAGGTGTTCCACTCTCTGCTCTCTGAATTTAACTGCTAAATGAACTCCAGAATCACACTGCACAAAACATTCAGGCCTGTACAAAGGATTCCTTTTGCAGGGATCAGCAAGCCAGGCTGGCAGCTCCCTCCCCTCTCTCTGCTGGCTGGGGTCAGGCTGTCTCAGAGCCAGGGAAGGTGCTGCTCTGCAACCCTCCTATGGAGCACAGGAGCACATACATTCAGGAATAAACCCACACGAAGCAGAGGCTTCCCGTGTCTCAGCAAGCACCGTACTCACTGGATCACCCAGGAATCCTACTGGCACCTGAGCATTGAAAAATATGCAGTTCAACACTGAATGCCTTCCTCAGGAATCACCATTCTTTGCTGTACCAAGCACAACCCAACCAAAAGGCAAAAGCAGAAGAAATGCACCTGAGTTACTGTCACATACAAAACTGGATGCAGAGAAACGAGATTTAAACTCACTTTTGCAAAGGCATCTCTGCCATAGGTGGCTTCTTGTTCAGTATGTTGTTTGTCAATGACATCCCGACCTGTAGCGACAGTTCTGAACAACAAAGCCTTCTCCACCATGTCCGATTTTGTTGACAGCAAGTCTGCAATGATGGACACGACCTTGCTGTTCTCGATCACAGGCGTGTCACCATCCACAGAAAACTTCAGGTTCCCCTGCAAGAAGCAGCAAGAGACTCAGTTTCTCAATCTTGCCTTTTCTTAACACAAACCCAGCCCAATTTCATCCCTATTCCACCTGCTATTCAAGCCAGGAATAAGTAGCAACACCACTGCATGATCTGCAGGATTGGGGGCTCTCACCCCCTGCCTGCATGGCCTGGCTCTGCTCTGCCTCTGCTCCTGCCCCAGCACTGGGGCACAACTGCCCCAAGAGGGAGGAAGAATTGGGAATTCCCTCGTCCTGCCTACCTGCAGTGCCTCTCTCCTCAAGGAAGCATGAGAGCTACAGGGACACTGCACAGGGTGGGAGGCTCTCTGTGGGTCCCAGGAGAATGCAGGTGAAGGAAAGATTTCTTCAGTATCAGAACTCAAAGGATTAAGACATTTCCTGTATCTGGCTGTGTTCAAGTCTCCACCATGAAGTGAAGCACCATTTCCCCAGCAAAACCACAGTGGTGATGGTCAGCATGACAGCAAAAGGGGACAGAAGGATTGTGAGGTGAGAGCTCCCTACCCCCTCACTGCCAAACCCACACAAGTCCTTTTCAGAACATTTAACAGCTCCCAGTACTTAACGCTACGTCTGGTTTGGGATCTGGAATATGCAGGAACAAATGTCAATTTCCATCATTACTGCAGTGCCCTATTTCATCCTATTTCACTCACCACTGGAACAGTTCAGCTGTAAACTATATACAATTTTCCAACCAACTGATCTTCCAACTGCTTCTGCAGCAAGGGAATTGGAGCTGCTGGAAGCACAAGTGCCCTGACCCCTCCTGAAGAACAGCCTACTCCTACCTGCAGAGGGCAGAGAGCTCACCAGGTGAAGGATGGCCGCCACGATTTTGTAGACAGTCTGAATCTCCTCTTGCTTGAAGCCTATCACTTTCATGGCATCAGCTACTGCTTTGAACTCTGCACCATCATTGATGGAACACTGAGGGGAAAAGAGAGGTGTGGGACATGAGGGGCTTAATGGAGAAAGCCTCTGGGCTGGTTTGCCAGAGAGCATCTCAAGCAAGCGGTTAGGAAATCCAGGAGCTTTTGTCTGGAGCCTCTTTCAGAGGGACACCACTAGGGACAGCTCCAGACATACTTAAAGTGTTCAGGACTTTGTCCTAGAAACATTATGGGTTTGTTCCCTTCTTCCGTGCTCAGAGGTCCCCTTGAGGATAAGGCAGATATGAAGAATGAATGGCTTGGTACCTTCAACAGTCTTACTGTTTGAGCCTCCTGTAACGAGCCCTTATGGCTTTTTAGTCCGGAAAACAGCTTGTTACCCATCATCATAGAATCCCAGAGTGGTTTGGGTTGAAGGGACCTTAAAGCCTATCCAGTTCCAACCTGCTGCCATGGGCAGGGACACCTTCAACTAGAGCAGGTTGCTCCAAGCCCCTGTGTCCAATCTGGCCTTGAACACTGACAGGGATGGGGCAGCCACAGCTTTGAAGCATGAAAAGTCTGTCACTGGTAACAGGTCTAATATCTATGCCTGCATTCATTAACAAAGGTGATGTCTCTCCTACTACATTTTACTGCTTTTTATAAGCAGGCACAAGTAGGCACAAGTGTAGCATGTACACGTACACACACACTTTGTCTTTGAGGGCCAGAAACTCCATTGCAAACAGCACATTGGTGTCACTTTTCCATATTCATCTTGCAAATATTGGTCTCAGCTTCTGCCAGCTCAGCAGTACTTGGAGTATTCCAAGAAGCATCTACAATTTTAAGCCAGGTTACCTCTTACTCACCTTTATCTGTGCTCCAGGACAGATGTAGTTGTAAGCAGATGCATCCTTCTGTAGATGCAGAGAACGTAACATCTGGTCAGACCCCCCCTGGAGCAGCTGCACAAAGAGCAGTTTAAGACAAGGTGAATGAAAGAAATAAAATCCTTCCTTTTTCTCTTATTTATCTGCTTAACAAGTAAAATCATAAAATCATCAACTTAGTGCTATAGGAGCAGCATCTGGAATGACAGCACAACGTGAGCAAAACACACAGTGTGCATCGTGGTAGGGCTCTGACCACCAGAAAGTGTTTTCCTAAATGACTGTCCTTTTGAGTGACACAACAGTTTAGAAACCCAGCCTGAACCTCTTCACAGAGCAGACACGTTTCCATCTGTGACATGCCACAGCTGTGTCTTGGCAAGCACAACTACTGCTACACACAGGGGCTTGCCAACACGGAAATGGCACGTTCATGACAAAGGTGCTAACACGCATCCTGGAGTAGGGAGTAAAGGGGGAAAATAAACAAACCTGTGTTTGCCTCACTGCTAAACTGAGAATAAAGGTTATACCAATAGGTTATAGTAATAGGCCAACCATTTCCCCCAAAAGACACACAAGGGAACCACTATACAATATGGAAGACATTAACAAGACACACACATACACAAAAAAAAGAAGAAAGCAAACTCGGTGTCATAAAATTACTTCCATATGGACTGAAGGCCTCAAGAGAAAATAGAGGGATTAGACTTATTACAAATAAAACAGTGAGTCAAAGTCCAATATTCCACCAGATTTGTTTAGTTAGCCTCCTTTTAAGTTTACAAATGTGTTAATATGGGACTGGAGGATAGAAGAAAATAAACCTTCCCATGCTCCTTCCCCAGACCAGGCCTTGTCAAAGAGTTCAAGAACCTCAGCTCACCCAAGGTGTAACAACAAGGGAACCCTTCACAAAGGGGGTGAAGGCTTTGAGTGTTTTGCCTCTCATGTCTGGGAAAGGTGAGGAAAGTCTCTTTTGCCAGGAAACCAATACAGACCTGGTAAAAAGAGTGAAAGCTTCGCTCTCCTGCCTGCTGCACAATCACACGAGACTGCAGGGAAACAGAACACAGAGATGAGTATTCCTGGATGTGGGCATCCTGCTTCCCAGCCACTCCCCCCCCCCAGCCACCGATGCATCGCTTCACCCCTGCCAGGACACCCCCAAACTAACCTTACTTCATGGAAGTCTGTAACAGGCACCGTTAGCTACATGTGCCCATGGAGAGGGAAGTCTATGATCAAAACTGCTTTCATGGAAATGTCAAATAAAACATCATTTTAGTTCAGGAGTTATTTAGTTGGTGGGAATGAAAAACAGGACTCTGCAAATAGGGCCATAGTTAGGATCTTATGGCAACCTCTACATCCCCAGGACAGGCTGGGCAGCAGCACCCAGCCACTGCACAAGCAAATGCTCTGCTCGTACCACAGGGGCCCTGCTTTAGGGAGCAGGTGATAGCTCCATCTTCAGAGCACCCATTCCAAATCAGTGTAAAACAGCACAAAAAAGCAGCAGAAATTCAGTCAAGCAACACTACCTTATTTCATGCTACAAGTCTGAACTAGAGAGAACAACACCGTGTGTGTTCCTGCAGAGTGCAAACTCACTGCCTGTTAACTTGCTGCTGCTTGGACCTGAACCTCAACTGCTTTCAAAATGGAAACCAATTTAACCTGGTAGAAGTCACGAACATGAAATAAAGGATGAGGATTTAAGTCACTGCAGCTGCAGCCCTACCCCTTTTTTGCGTTAAGGCATCACATGTTAAATGTTTGGGTTTGTTGTTTTTGTTTCTTAACATAAAGTGTTTATTCTGAATACAGACTTCAGGGAAATAAAGGGAAAAGTAAAAAAAAACACAAACAAAAAAGCATGTTGTGAGCAGATGCTGTCAAAGGGATAAATCGAAGCCAGACGTGTGTCTCTCACATAAGAGCTGTGAATAGATCACACCCAGCTTCTCTGGGGAGTTTTACATAATCCAGTGTTTTCAGCCACCACTTAATGACATGAAAAACCCAATTAAGCTCAGGATCACCGGAATAGATAAAACCAAAGTTCCTGAAAGATCTCACAAGGTTATTCCAGAACACTTCTCACCCTACCCTCACCACTTACAGTGCCACATGTCGGCTACTTCTATTCACCCCTGAGATCTCAGTATGGCAACTAACAAAGAAGGAGTTTTGCAGACCTTAAGTTGATCTCAGGTTTTGTTCTGGATACAAAGCACATAGACCTATGTGCCCATAAGCTTCTGAGGAGCACTGGTCCTTTAAGAGGTGAGCTCTGACAGTGGGGGTGCTGAAATAAGGGGGTGCTGCCAATGATTCAGCAGCATTTCAGTTACTCTTGAAGCAAAAGAAGCCTTAGATTGAAGGAGCCTCTCTGCCCTCATGTCACCTGCTGACACACCACGTTTGAAAGGACTTTTCTGTTGGCAAAACACACATTCCAAAGGTAACTACACAAAAGCCTCTAGAAGTGAGGGTGGTTTACCTTTTCTAGTAAGTAGTTATTGATATGCCCCCCGATTGGGTCTCCTTTGAAATCAAAGTTGATATCCATGTATTTCCCAAACCTGCTGGAATTGTCATTCCGGTTTGTTTTGGCATTGCCGAAGGCCTCTAACACACAGTTGGATTTCAGCAGTATGTTCTTCACTCTGGAGCAC